CGGCGGGGCGGGACCCTCGGTAGCGCCGAGGCGCAGAAATGGCGGGTCCTCCGTGGTGGAGGAGCGGATTTCGGGGTGGGAAAGGCTTTGGGGGCATCATGGTCCCTAGGCCGGGGTTGGGGTATGGGGGGCGGGGTCCCGTATGTCCTTTCCCAGGGAGGGGGCGGGGAGGACACGAGTTTCAGCCATAGCTCCAGCTTCTCTGAGACCCTTTCTAGTGCTCATCCGTCATATGAGAGTGGAAGGGGCTGTGGAAGGGGCTTGGTGGTGGCAGCTGGAGAACCCTGGGCCTCAGTGTGGACCCCTGGCTGCTCTGGGTTTCTGGAAGGCACTGCCTCTTACCACCCTGTGGACTCTTGACAACACCAAGAGCTGACTGGAGGGCACCTTTGGAAACCCAACGCCATCCCCCCTGGGCTGTACATGACCAGCAGTGGTGGACACCCAGAGAGGCCAAGGCACTGGTCAGAGGACACACAGGCCGAGTGCCTTGGGGAGGTCAGGGCAGCAGCTAGGCACTGCCCAGTGGCTGGGCTAGCCTGGTTGGCTCCAGCCTCTGCCTTCAGGGGAATGGCATGGGGGTGGGGATGGGTTACTTGTCTAAGGAAGGTAAATCTTTAATTTTCTGCCCTGGACAAGGGTCAGGAGCTGGGGACTGAGACTCTGGCCCCTCCTCTAGGTCAGCTGCTGCCTGCCCTTGTGGGGGGGCACTTCTCTCTGTTGTGTTGCCCCTGTAGGGGGTGCTTCTGCAGCTCAGAGGACCAGCAAGACCCACGGTCTGTGAATGGGGATAGACAGGGCTCTGGGGAAGAAGCTTGGGAAAGGGGATGGAGTGAGGCCCAGCTTCCTCCACCCCAAGATCTCAGTCCATTCCTCATGCCAATTCTATGACCCAGACTTTTTTTGTTCACACGTATTTCTCTTCTCCCCATTTTCCAGGGAAAGAAGCCGAGACCCAAGAGTGGGAAAATTACAGACTAGACGTCACAGAACTCCGAAGGGCCCACACAACCTCTCTCCGAGGGATTCTTTCAGCCTGGAATTTTCCTAGGAATCTTAGTCCCCAGGGCCCCTTGGGGATGTGGGTCCTGGCAAAGCTTCTTTCTAACTGGGTGCCCTTGGGCAGATTATTTCACCTTTCTGAGCTGAGGGTTAGATAAGTCCAGGAATTTGTCACAGTGGGAAGGAGGAACCCAGAGACTCAGAGGGGCAGGGAGGGAGTTCATCAAAATCTCCGTCACCTGTGGCTTCTGCAGTCCCTTTCCAAAAAGTTCCCAGGGGCCCAGGACACTCCCTTTTGGCCCGTGTCCTGGCTTCCAGGACTGTGGGGATCCTTTTGTGCATTGGTGCACCTGTGCCAAGCCTGCCCCCTGCCATGCCCTGCAATTATTAATCATTGTTGCCTTTATCACTGGGCCAGCTTCCAGGGGTGGGCACTGCCCAGGCTGTTGATCCAGCCTCCCTTCACTGTGGCCGTACACGGGCAAGTCCCCGGCAGTTACTATTTAAACAGGTGGCTTAAACAGGTAGGGGGCTGGGAGGAACCAGGCCCGAGCATCTGGCATGAACAGGCACATGCCACACGGGCCTCTGCGTCAGCCACTCAGAACTGACCTAGCTCTGTTCCCCTAAACCACCCCCATCATCGCTTTTTGTAAGCCGAGTGGTAGTCTGGACTGGCCCTGCCTGTCCTGCCTATCCCCACGGTAGGGTAATGGGGCCACTTACCAGCTTCCGAAGGGCTCCCTCATCCAGCCCAGCTAAGGCCTCGTCTGCCATCTCGCTGGTCTCTAACTCTGTCCGTCCCTTCCTGGTGAGATCGCCAGTGCCTATGGCACCCGACACCGGCTCAGGGGTTCTGTAGGGGACAAACATGAGTCAGGCTTGCTAGAGTTTCTAGAAACAACTGGCACTTAGGCGGTGTGCCTGTTTCCCTCTCTAACTCAGAAACATCTGTGGTTGTCCCATCCGTGTCATCCCAACCTGTCATGTGGCTCCTGACGGCTAGTAGCTCTCCACCCCAGGATGGTCTGTAGGAAAACTGGCCAGACCGAGTTCATAGGGGTCCATGGTTCCAGCCTTGCCAGCTTGGCTGCCAGTGTGCTGTGTGGCCTGGGCTGGGCCTTCATCCTGTCTAAGCCTCAAACAAGGAGGGCAGGGACCTGGATTGAGAAGCAGGGGCCCAGCAAGGCCCACCCAAGCTGTGCTTGCCACCAGGGGGTGCAAGCCGGTCTCCACAGTTTCCTGCTCCACCCACCCCTCCCCAGGGTCTGCCCAGCCCTCACTCTGCAAACTCAGCCTCTAGCCAGCTGAACCTATATACAAGTCCTTGCTGTCAAACCACTCTCATTCTCCTACTGATCAGAGGTCTATTATGTCTTCCAGGTCTCACAGCCAGCCCTCTGCACACACCCCTCTCCACTCCTCCCCTCCCTGTGGTCCTCCTGATGCTAACTGTCCTGACCTCAGGAAGGCAGGTATCCAGGCACCCAGTTCCTCCTGTCAGTTCACACACTTAGAACCCAGTTCCCCAGCTGGAAGGGCTTTCAGACTTGCCCAACCTCTGAACTTCAGGGCTGGAAAGGTCCAGGAAATTTGTCACAGTGAGGAGGAACCCAAAGACTCAGAGGGCAGGGAGGGAGTTAATAAAAATCTTGGTCACCTGTGGCTTCTGCAGCCCCCTTTCCAAAAGTTCCCAGGGGCCCAGGACACTCCCTTTTGCCTCATCACTACCCAACAAAATGGACCTCTAAATTCTGGCTCGGCCTCCCGTACAGCGGTCTCCTTTCTCTTGCTCCCCTCATGGCTTTCTAGTGTGAGAACCCATGCCTGACACATTGTGGGTGCTTCGTTCACGTGTGATGACGGACATGGCCTCAGAATTGTCCCCCGCTCCCGTTGACTCATCCCTCAATCATCCCTTTCCCCTATCCAGATCACTCACTTGGCGAGTCACCCCATCCGGTGAATGGGCTTGGGGGGTCAGCCTACCTGGTGGAGGTGTGTCAGAACCTACCTGTTCAAGTCAGTGCTCGCTTCTCCCACCCTGGTGGCACAGACCAGTCACTCTCCCAACGTCTGTCTCTTAGGGTCTTTGCTGCTTGCTTACTGTCTTAGTCTGGGGTAAATCTCCCCCAAGAATGACACTCCGCGGTCACCAGCCTTAGGTTCTACAGACATTGAGTTCCCCATTTCTGAGGGACGGAGGTCTAGGACACCCAAGAGACTGAAGTTTCTTCCTCCTCAGAGATTCCCGCTGCTGCCCCCTCCAGTCCCATGGCTCCCAGTGACACAGTGTGGGGTTCCTGGAGGTCTGAGGGACCTCAGGGGTCTGGGGGAACTTCCTCAGGGTACCTGCCCCCACAGTCTAGGGCCCCTGGAGTCCTGGAGCCTCTTGGAGGTCCGTGGGGAGGCCCTTCTCCTCCACCATTTCAGGACTTGACCCCGTGGCTTAGCGATACCGTGGATGGGTGAGAGGGCTCCCAGGTCTGGCGGTCCCAGAACCCCTGCCCACATATCCGGGTTCCACCCCCTGGACCCGTCGGGGGTCCTGGTGTCGCTCCGAGGTGCGCACACTCACCTCTCAGTCCAGCCTGCCCGTCCGGCGCGGGCTCGGGTTAGCTCTCTCGGGACTGGATGTCTTCGAGCCTGTCGGGCGGGAGGCGCCGCCACCCGGGATCCCAGGCCCGCTCTGCAACCGTCCCCTGGACTCTGAGGGAGCCGCAGGCCCAGCCCCGCCGGCAGTCCCGCCGGCCCCGCCCCGCCTCGCCGCACCAGCCAATCCAAGGGTGGGTCCCGCCCACCCTCGTATCTCATTGGGGAAATTCAATTCGAAGGCCACGCCCCGAGGAAGGGTGCCGCCCCTTCACCCCCGCGGGTCGGGAGTGATGTGGGGATTGTAGTTTGGGGGCTCCTGCCGCTGTGGCTTTGGCTGGTCGGGTGGGCGTCGGCTGGAGAACGCAGGCTATGTGTCAAAGTCCGGGAGGGCTCCCCAAGACGAGGTAAATGGTCTAGAATGGTACGAGCCTCAGAAGCTTCAGGACAGTCCTTCCCCGCCTTCTTCTTTGTTCGTGAGACCGTGTCCCTCCCTCAACTCCGCCCACTCGCGCCCGTGCTTAGGCTCAGTCGCCTTCCGCAGACTGCTTTTAGGACACCTGATCTAAGCCACCTAGGAGCAGGGGCTGAATTCACTACTCAGTACCTTGACCCTGTGTTGGAATACCCGGGATCATCTCAGATGGAGCAAGATTAACCACACGGCACGCCTTTCTCGGCTCACGCACCTGGGCGCAGACACTACCTTCATCTAGCACGCTTTTCCCGTTCAAGCCTTTCAGGGTCTGTCCCTTGGAGCGCTGGAATTCAAAACTGGGAGTCAAGGCTCTCATTCAGCGAATGGGGAAGACAGAGCCGACGCGTCTAAAACCAAACAAGAAGTTGGCCAAGAGAGCCAAGCGTCCATAGACCCACTGAGGCCCGCCACTGGGACTGGCTCACAGGTCTCCATGGAGACCAAAGGGGATGGAGCCTGATGAGGATGGGATCTAGATCCTGCTTCTCAAATAAAGACAATTGTCAGATTAACTCGTTTGTTTTGCCATTTCCAGGTACCAGGCATATAATTCCCTTAGGGACTATTGACATATGAGACCAGGATTGTCCCATTTCCCAGATAAGGACAGTAGCTGATAGGTAGTGGGGCTATAATTCATACCCTTCAGCGCTCAAAATTTGTGCTGTTAAAGAACAAACAAACACACACCAATACAATTCAGAATTATGGGGAGGCGATTTCAGCCTATTGCCCAAAAAGAATCCCAGTCCAGATCTTCAGTGAGCACCCCCACTCCACAACCACCGGCATTAAGAGAGTGGCCCAATATCCACTCTGAAACTCTCCAAGTGTCATCTTATTTCAAACCCACATCTCTGAGAGGTGAATCCCATTTTATACGCTGGAAAACCAAGGCACACAGAGGGTTATGAGAGTTACATGGTAGGCGGGGCAAACAGCTCAGTTGGAAGAATACAGTTGGAGGACCCAGGCCCTCTGTACCCAGCCGAGGTGGCATCTTATTCTACACAACAGGGGCCAGCACCACTCAAAGTCAGCTCGGTTGTACTTTAAACCTCATGTGCCAGTTGGGACTGCCCCTTTGATGGGGACACACCCAGGGCCTTTTGGATTTCAGGACCTATCTGAGTGGTGGCTGTCAGACTCCAATGGGTAGCCAGCTTCCTGCCAGTTCTTCCCTTCCCAGTCCACACCCCCGTCACTCCCTCGTCCTGGCAGATTAGGAGGAATTGCACAGGTGACCCTCTGGGTGCTCAACTTAATGTCTTGCACATGTGGTACTGAAGGGATGAGCATGTCCTGCCCCACGGTCAAGTTCTTAGGGCCTGGGCCCACCTCCAGACTACCTGCCTGGCTTTCTTTTCCTGCTTGCAATGGGTAGAGGTGGGGAGCAGGTGGTGTGGCAGAGATCTGAGAGCAAAGAGAAGCCCAGTGAGTGCTGGGAAGTTTGCAGCCACAGCCCAGGAAAGAGTAAACATCTGTGAGGAGGGCCCTGGCACCTGCTGCGTATCAGACCTCAGATTCCCACTAGTGCAAATTGACCACTGTGCAAGAGATAGGTGCACCTCACTTCTCAAGGAAGTCGAAGCTCAGGGAGGCGAAGTCACCCTGGGCTGGTAGTACCATTCAAACCTGAAGCTCCTTTCCACTTTGGGATAGAGAAAATCCTGGAAGACTTCTCGGTGGAGGTGGTGTGTAAACCGGTCTTTGAAGATGAGTGCAAAGAAATTTACCCCATAGAGAAGAGGGGGAAAGGCATGGAGGGATATTTGTAGCAGAGGAATGGTGTGAGCAAAGATGGGGACTGGAACTGTGGGTAGAGTGAGAAGTGGGGACGATCCTGTCTGAAACCAAGCTGAGCAGAGTGAGCATTAGGTGTGAGCACTGGGGAGGCCTGGGCCTCAGTTTGCCCATCTATAAAATGAGGGGGTTGAATTGACTGCTTGAGGCCCTCTTTGAGCAAGGAACTATAAAAGGAAAGGTCCAGATTCTTCCAGGTCCAACCCTGGACTGACAGAGTGGGGAGTGGCTAGAGCAGCTTAGGGGCCAAGGGTAATATTTTGCTCTAAGGCCTGAGTCTGAGAATGAATATTTTACCAAACTGGATCCCTGAGTCTCCCTGACTTCCTCTCCCCCTTCTCAGGGTCCTGCAGAGAAAGCGCAGGCTAGGAGTCAAGGTGGTGATGGGACTCAGCCCTGGCTCCACCCCAGGCAAGATATCAGGGCCTCTTGGGGCCTCAGTTTCCTCATCTGCACAATAGAGATGTCATCCCTTGAGCTCTCTAAGCAGTCTCTCCCCTGCCTGGACAACACAGAATTCCAAACCTTGCAGGGAGACCCTCATCTTTGAATGTGCCTGCAAGTGGCAACGAGGCCAGCTGAGGCCAGGACCTTGGGCCTATGAAGGAATCCAGGGGACTTCGGGACAACAGGGTGGATGGAGGAGTTAGAGATAGGTCAGAGTTGGGCCTGTGGTTCGAGGGTCCAGCCTAGTGGAAGCGGGGAGAGAGGGAATCTGATGCTCAATGGTTCAGAGAGCCTGCCCTGGTATGCGGTGAGGGCAGGGAAAGGCCGCCTGGAGGAGGGAACAGCATGAACCAAGGAAGGACGGCAGGACTGTGAGGACCTTATCAGTAAACAGGCCTGTGAGGCTAAAGAACCAGTTCTTGCTGGGGTTGGCCGGATCCGAGGTCTTCGACCCTCCTCGCAGGCACAACTGGAGGCCTCCAAAGTCATAGCCAGCAGCCTAGGAGTGGGACCGAGGGCCTGTTTGGCAAACCAGTTTGGCAAGGTGTTACCTCCATGAGGTCACCCAGCTGCTGCTCTCTGGGCAATAAACAGTGCAAGGTACACTTCCGGCCTTGGGGGCTGCTGGTCAGTGATGAATTCCAGGAGACCAGAGTCGCAGGCAAAGATGAGGGCTCTGGAAGGGTCAGCTTGGACCTTTTGTGACTTCTTGGTGGGTCCCTGATGTCTGGGGGGTGGTCTAAGCTCATGGCAGGGGCACTGTGTAATTGCCATCTGGTGGTTGCACCTTGGCTCCCAATTACCTTTCTCATACTTGTGTGGCAATTCTGTGATCATGGTGACCCTCACTCACAGCCTGAGGGTCCCGGGAGGTGGGACCACCATTACGGATGAGGAGACAGCCTCGGTGACATCAAGTCACACCAGCACTTCACGTATGATTTTTTTTTTTTCAAATTTCCCCAAAAGGAAAATTTTATTGATTACTTTATTCCCTCACCAATAGACCAACTGTAATCAAATGAGGTGAACATTCGCCTCAAGATGTTGTTGTCTTCATCATAGAAAAGATGAGGCTTAGAACTGGATCACTTGACCCTTTCTCTTCTTATCTCCTCCCAGTTCAAAATGCCTACATCTCTTAAAAGCCAGCATTCTCTTAGATCTGCCGTTGGGCTCAACACATTCAAGCCTCAGTGCAATCTTCTTTGTAGTTTTTGCCTTTGTCCGGAAATAGGTTTAGTCTGTCCACCATGGCCACTTGGCTTCCTGTCAGAACACCGCTGTCCCTGAGCACACAGAGAACCCTTGCTCTTTTTGTCCTGTGTCACTTCATGAGGTTAGTGCTTGCCACACTTCTTACAGAAGGTCTGGTGGGTTTTAGGGACGTTCACCATGCTTGTGGGCCTGCTATCTGCACAGAAAGCATGACTTTTTTTTTTTAAGAATTATTTTATTTGGGGCCAGCAGGTGGTGTGGTGATTAAGGGCGTTGGACTTCCATATGACCAACTGTGGCTCCAGTTCCAGACCTGGTGGCTTGCTTTCTCACTGCCCCCCTTTCCTGTCTCTTTTTCTAATTATTTTTTAAAAAAGAGAATTATTTTATTTAACTTTATTTTAATTTGACCAGAGAGGGACAGAGAGAGAGAGAGAGAGGGGAAGTGAGAAACCAAATCTCCAGGTCCAGAACTTGAACCATGGTTGACCATGTGGGAGTCCAGTGCCCTTAACCACCACACCATCTGCTGGCCCCCTCACGTACGATTTGAATCTAGACTTTTTGTTCTCTTTTTCCTCTTCCATGAGAAAAAGAGACAGAGATGGCACTTCTAACAGATACTTTGAAAAAAATTAAAAAATTTTAAATTAATTAATTTAATTTAATTAATCATTTTTTAAAAAGTTCGCTATTGGGCTTATGTGCTCACAGTGAGAGACAGAAAAAGAGAGAGAGAGAGAAAGTGAGAAAGCAAGCCACCATGTCCAGGACTTGAACAGCGGTCAGCCATGTGAGAGTCCAATACCCCAACCACCATGCCACCTGCTGGCCCCTTCAATAGAGTCTTGACACCTCACTCCACCCCAGCTTCAGATTATGGACACACACTCAGCATCCTGTGAGGCCTCCAGATGTGAACCCAGAACCTTCCCATGTGGGTCAGCCTTACGGAGCATCGTTTTCCTGCTGTGCCACCCTCTGCCCACGGGGCCCTTAATCACTACTCCACCCTCCACCATTGGGGAGCGTCACCCAGATGGGACCTTGTCTAACCCTTCTCTCTCTGTGTGAATACAACAGAGGAATCCTGGCATCACCAAGTCCTAGATGCCCACCTCATTGTCCAAATAGGTAACCTGAGTCCCAGAAAGGGCAAGGGACAGGCTTCAGGTCACACAGCATGTAGGGGGGTAGTGCCACTCTGTACCTCAAATCCTTGGGCTCCCAACAGGGGAGAACAGCAGTAACTGGCATGTTTTGAGTGTCCACTATATGCCCTTCACCCGGCCCTGTGAGGTAGGTGCCAAGAGAGGCAGTCTCAGAGGAAGTGAGATAAAGAAATGTAGGCTCAGAGAGTGGAAGCCACTTGTCCCAGTTGACCCAGCGTGTTGGTGGTAGGGCTGGGACTTGATCCCAGGTGTGTGGGCCCTTTTGCCTCAGTGAGGCCCAGGAAGCTGCATGGGAGGCATGAAGACCTGTAGGCAGGAGGGTAGATGCCCCCTTGCTGGTTCTGGAAGCGAGCAGCTTCCGACTCAGAGTTTCCACGCAGGCCTGGCCTCGCTGAGGCAGGCAGAAAAATGCTGAGGCTGCAGCAACGCTCCGAATCTTCCCAGAGGAGGCGGCTAGGGAGGGAATACTCGGCACCAACCTCAGAGCCAAGTGTAGACGTGGCGGCTGGACCAGCTGCAGGCGAGGGAGGGCAGGCGGGTGGGGCCCAAACCCAAGCCCAGCCTCCTAGGCATGTTCCCAGCCCTCCACCAGCCAGGCCCGGCCCTGCCTGCCCTCCTTGCTTCTCATCTGGATTTGAAATGAGAACGCTGGGCCTAATAATAGCCAACTGGCAGCAGAGGCAGTGCCTAGAGCCACAGCCAGTGGGGGGGCAAGGGTCCCCCTCTCATGGTAGCCCTGAGCAAGCTTCGGAGCTTCAACGATGATAGCAAGTGTGTGTGACGTTCATACCACGTCCTGTGTGCTGAGCACTGTGTTAAAGCTGAACCCACAGTAACTTGCGTATTCCTCATGACTGCCCCGTGGGATAAAACTATTAACCTTTTTCAAAGACATTATTTATTTAATTTTATTTATCATTATAATTATTCCTTTTAGTTTGCAACAAGGCTCATGCGCTCACCAGAGAGAGACAGAAAGTGAGAGCACAAGCCGTCAGGTCTAGGACTCGAACCGTGGTCAGCCATGTGGGAGTCCAGCACCTTAACCACCACGCCACCTGCTGGTCCCAAAAAACTATTAGCCTTTTTGATAAATAAGGAAACTGAGGCCACAGAGAGTTAAGCAACTTGCTTTGGATGATACCGTGAATTTGGCAGCTGCCAATCACTGAGAATCTCTCTCCTGGGTGTTGGGCCAGACGTGGTTCATGGATTTTTCCCGTTGATTCTCCACAGCACCATGAGGCAGATCTTAATATAGTCACATGTGGAAAAAGTGAGGCCCAGCGAGAAAAGACTTGCCCAAGGTCACACAGCTTTGGTGGACCCAGTCGGTACCCAACCCGAGGCACTTTCTAACTTTAGAGAGGCTAAGACCTTAGCTTCTAGAATCAGACAGACTCGGGGATGGTGGTGATGTCTGCTCCTCGGCTACGTGGCCTTGGTCTATCACGTCACCAGCCTGAGGCTGTGTTTTCGTCTCTGTGAGATGGGGCTTTGGTTGAGATGATGCGAATACCACCTGGCAGCTCTTGAGTCCATCTCGTGTATCATAGGTAATTGAGATCATGCATTTACTCTGCATATTCCCTCACCCAGTCCTCAGAACAGCCCTCAAGGTGGGGACTCCTCTCTTCTCGGGCCTGCTCTCCATGAGGGAAATGCGAGTCTCAGAAAGGGAACGGGCCTTCCCCAGGACCAATAGCAGGTGGGGTAGGATTTGAGACCAGCATGACGATCCCAGAGGTTGAGCTGGGGTCTATACTTCACATCCCGATATTGAGACACAGAGAGGGTGTGGCATCTGCTGGGTCACACAGTGAAGTGGGTCTCTGGGGCCATCTGATCTGCAAGACCAGGAAGGGAAGCCCTATTTGTCCCATCCTCTCTGGGCTTCTTTAGACAACTCTTGGCTCTGTAAAATGCATCCCCTTCTTTTTCTTTTCCTTTCTTTCTTTTTTTTCTTCTATAGGGCTCATGCACTTGGTGGAGAAAGAGAGAGAGAAAAAGAGAGAGAGAGAGAAAGAGAGAAAGAGAGAGAAAGTGAGAAAGCACCCTCCACTACCAGGGAGGATGGCCACACCACAATCCCTTCTCCATTCTCTTCTTGGGAGTCGCATGCATGAACATGCAACTGGCATGTTTTTTTCACCTGGCATGTGTAATTGGTCATGGGACATCCAACTGCCTTAGCCTCTATGCCATCTGCTGGCCCCTGCATCCCCTTCTTAATCCACCTCTAGGACTGTCCCATCACTGGGAAGAGAGCAGGACAAGAGAGTCTGAAGTTAATGGGCTCCAGCCCTGAACAGGCTGGTGCCAGAGCAGACGCTGATGGGTGTGGTCTGGGCATTCCGAAAGATTCCCACCCACCTGGAGGGGAAGGTCCAAGATGGACGAGAGAGGCAGCTCTGTCTCTTCCCCATTGAAACCATTTCTGAGCTCCCCAGCGTACCAGACCAAAGGTGACAAGCCATTTCTGACATTTGTAAGCCGCATGGAGCTCACAGTCTGGAGGGGACACAGACATAGCAGATGCCCCTCATATAAAGTTACCATTAGAGTATGGGGAGCCCTCTGAAGCAGCAGCCACATCACACCGTGGGAGGGTGTGTGATTATTTTTTATTTACTTTTTTTTTTAAGGCTTTTGCCACAGGGTGAACATGCTAGCCAGAGAGAGAGAGAGACAAAGGGAGACAGTGAGAGGGAGAGTGAGAAATCACCCCTGGATGGCCATGCCACAATCCCTTCTCCTCCATTCTGCTCCTGAGATCTTGGGCACGCACGTGTCCGGTGTGATTTTCAAGCCTCTGGGTACAAGATTTGAACTGGGGTCAGGCATGTAGGGAGTCCAGTGCCTTCACCATTATGCCACCTGCTAGCCCCTATTTATTTATTTATTTTTCAAGACTAGAGGGTGCATACAACAGCGATAGTGAACCAGCAAGAGAGAGCTCCCCTCCCCTCCAGTGGGGCATGGTCACACTGCACTCCTCTTCCTCCATTTCTCCACTTTGTCAGGATTTAGGGGACTTGTGCACATGTGCCCTGTGTGTTTTTTAAGTCACCAGGGCCAGGATTCAAACCACAGTCAGTCATGTAGTACCTAGCTCCTTACGCATGGGGAATAATGGCTGCATTACAAGGCCGAACATTTATTTTTAAAGTTTATTTGTTTCTTCCATGAGTGAGTGTGGCAGAGAGGAGAGAGAAACAGGAAGAGAGAGACAGGATCTTGACACTGTGACCCATCCTCAGCCTTTAGTCAGCCAGTACTCAGGGAGATCTTTGAACTTGAACCCAGAACCTTCCCAGGTGGTGCGACTTGCAGAGCATTGTATTTCTTCATTGTGCCATTGCTTGGTCCCCTTTTAAGCTTCTTTTTTTTTTCTTCCTTTTTTAAAGAGGTTTTAGCTATAGGGGGAGTGCGCTCGCCAGACAGACAGAGACAGAGAGATAGAAAGCGAGAAATCACCCCCCAGGGGGGATGGCCACGCAGCAATCCCTTCTCCTCCATTCTCCTCTCGGGATCTTGGGCACGCACGCACACGCGCCTGGCGTGAGTTTTAAGCCACCGGGTCCAGGACGCGAACCGCGGTCAACTACATGGAAATCTAGCTACATAGCCATTACGCTAACTGCTGGTCCCACCATGCATTTTTTGTCCCTCAACCTAGCGCTGAGCCACGCATGCAGTAGGTGCTCGAAATGTGTCCTTGGTAGTGAGTTCCTTCGGGGGGCACATTTCTGCTAGGGCAGGTGTGTCCTAGGATCTAGGGTGCGGTTAACAGTTTTCCTGGCTCCTCCCTTTCACTCCTACTTCTAGACATTCACCAAGCCTCGCCGCACCCAAGCCTGCGGACCCGTCCCGCCCTAGACGTGTCGTATTTGGCCTCTACAGTGTTTTAAAGCTTCTTTTGCTTGGTCGTTAACATTTAAAAATCAGCAAATTTCACATGGTAATCCGCATTTTTGTTTCTCTAAAAAGTCTCAGGCCTGGGTCCGAATTCCCCCAGGGCAGCACCACTCTCTAACACCTGTTGTACTGAGGGTTCAGTCCTAGGTCCAAACCAGGCAGTTGAATTTGGGACTTGGAAGAAAGAACGCTAGTTATAGCCAAGGACCAATCAGAATTCTAGAAGCTGACCAATCAAATGAATAACTCCTTCAGAGGCGGGGCCAGGAGGAGTAAATCCCGCCCCCAGTCCCTACCAGCCGAAAGTGGGAGGGGCATTTTGCCCCAAGTCTTAACCTACCCAAACCTGAGAGCTGACTGCTGAAACCCTTAGGGCTTAATACGAGAGGCACCCTCGACTAGGTAAGTCCGTCTTCTATGCCTGGACCGCTCTTTCTCTTCATCTTCTTTCTGGCTGGCTCCTCATCACCAAATGTCATCTTCTAAACAAACAAAAACAAAAATCAGGTCGTCTCCTCAGGAAATGCCTTCCCTGACCACCTGTCTGAAGCTTCGGAGAATTTCTCTGCATTGTACCCTCATCTTAACAGTTAATACCTGAAGTGATTTAATTGTTGCTATTATTCTCCTGCTAGACGGCAGATCAATGAAGTCAGAGAGTCCTTGCTCATTCAACACGGAATTGCCAGGTCCCGGGACTTTGAAGACTCTGGTCTCAAAGAAGGAGCTCAATACACATTTGTGGAACAAATGACCTATTATGTTCACAAAAGACCCCTGGGGGATGCGTGTGACCCTGTGTGGGTGTGTGTGGGAGTCAGTCATGGATCAGCCAATTTGTAATTAGAGAGCAATTAGTCAGTAGCTAATTGATGCAAAAGAGAGCGAAGGAACTGGGAGTAGAACAAGGAAAGGAGTCTCAGGTCTCCTCTGGGAAAATGTTGAGAAAGGGCAACGAGGAATCCCCAAGGTACCACTGAAAACTTCGGTGTCATTGAAGTTTTTGTAAATAATCAGAAGCCCCCAGATAGGAGCTTGTTCCCTTTAAGAAGCAGGTGGGCCTGGAGGGTGGGGCTGAAAGAACTGACCGAGGAGGCATCACCTTTTCCTGCTTTCAGGACAAAATAGAGGAAAGGTTCTTTTGGTGCTTCTTTCCCTCGCATGAACAATACTTAAAAAAAAAAAAAAAGTTTACAAATGCCAGAAATCTCCCTAGATTACCCTGTGCAAAAATGCTATCACCAGAAGTGGTCCCGAGATTATAAAAATTTCAAGACAGGAAGAGCGCGTCCTCAAACACATTGTTTTTTTAGTTGACTCAAATTTGTTTTCTGGTTTCTAGCCAGCCTTCTTTTTCTTTTTTCTTTTTAGAATTATTGATTTATTTTTAACAATTGTTATTTTTAAAAAGTTTTTTGCTACAGGTCACGCGTACTCACAGAGAGAGAGGAAAAGTGAGAAAGCAAGCCACCAGGTCCAGGAATTGAACCATAGTAAGTCATATGGGAGTCCAACACGTTAACCACCACACCACCTGCTGGCCCTTCCAGCCTGTCCTCTGATCAACCCGTCAATTAGAACTTTGCATTTGAAATAGGCACCTAAGAGGTTTTTGCTATAGGAAGAACCTTTTCCTGTGTGTTTGCAGGAAAGACAGAGAGAGACAGAGAGACAGAAAGTGAGAAATCACTCCCTAGGGGGGATGGCCATGCCCCAGTCCCTTCTCCATTCTCCTCTTGGAATCTTAGGTGTGCATATACACACACACACACACACACACACACACACACACACACAGGTGCTTGGCATGAGTTTAAGCCACCAAGTGGTGGCTTGGTGGTCTCTAGGGGAGAATGTTCCCAGGGTCCCCTGGGCAGAGGACAATAAAATCTGCAAATGGCTTTGGGTTGTCATCACAGGCAATTGATCAGGAGCCAGCTAGATAGGGGTCCGGCCTACAGCTGCTTGCTCCTCAGGTAGGAGATGCATCAGCCTGTGGCTTACCAAGGGGAACATTGATCGGAACCCGGGGGTTGTGCCCTGAGTACTGTTGGGTCTCTCCATGGGGGTTCTATTTTATATAAATAATTCTTTTTTTAAAGAGTTATTTTATTTAACTTTATTTATCATTATTACTTTAACATTTTCAGAGAGAGATACAGAGAGAGAGAGAAAAAGTGAGAAAGCAAGTCTCCAGGTATGGGACTTAAACTACGGTCGGCCATGTGGGAGTCCAGCACCCGTAATCACCACGGGTGATTATCTGCTTGACTTACGGAAGATAGGGTAGGCTGGGTTGATGTCGAGCTAGAAACTTCAAGATGCCTCGTGTTCTCCCAGCAGACCTGGTCCTACAGAGCTGCCTTCCTGGCTCAGGGTAGGAATGGCTGCTGTCTCCTCGATCGGCAGGAGTTGCGAAGCACCTTCACCCTTTCTCATACTTGATCATCATAACCATCTTGTACAAAAGACAGAAAAAGAAGTGGCTGAGGCTCCTCCCTCTAAATAGTGTTGAACCCAGGGGCCCGATGGTGGCAATGTGGTAAGACGCAGTGCCCTGCAAATCTGACTCCCATAGAGATGTTCTGGGTTCGGATCTGGAGGCCTCCGTGAATACACCAGGCAGAATCATGCTTGTGATCTGAGGCCGGCTGAAGCTAGGGTTGGAATGTGGCATCAAAACCTTACTGACGATTCTCTCTCACTCTCTCTCTTTCTTTTATGGAAGAAAATTGTCTTAAATATAACCCCAGGAGTGACTGTAACAGCTGTCATTTTGAGAGCCACTACTTAACTTGGGACTCCCTCCAGATTCTTTAAAATTCTGATTGCAAATGCAAAGTGCTGTCAGGTTTGACCAGCCAGCGGTATGGTGGTGAAGGCAGCTGGATCCCACATGGCTGACTGCATGTTTTGAGCCCTGGACGCGGTGACTTGAGAAACATGACAGGCCCATGTGCATGTCCAAAATCCCAGGAGGAGGAGAAATGGAGAAAGGATTTCGGCATGACAGTCCCCATGGGAGTACTTTCTCACTGCCCCCACCCCCAGCACATGTGCCCTCTGGCAAAAATTGTTTTTGAAAGTTCTGCTGGATCAGGAAGTTGGATCAGGACTAAGCTTATCCACTACATGTTATGAAGCTGTTAATTCCAAGTGTGCTCATGAGAGCGCTTTCAGTAAGACACAGGTATCCATTCAGTCTTCCTAGGTATTCCATGGGGTCCGAGAATTTTCTTTTTTTCTTTTTTTTAATAATATTTATTTATTTATTTATTCATTCATTTTAATTTAACCAGAGAGAAACACACACACAGAGAGAGGAAAGTGAGAAAGCAAGCCACCAGTTCCAGGACTTGAACCCTGGTCGGCCATGTGGGACTGTCCTGCGCCTTTACCACCGCGCCACCTGCTAGTCCCGAGAATTTTCTTCCTAGGGCCAAGGCATTATCTGGGGAAGGCAATTCTTATTTCTGTCGCTTATTTGGTCGTGGGAGGAAGGATCTCTTACCCACCACCCATGGGCCCTGGGTGTCACTTGGCACCTGGAGGCAATTCTCGAAATTGGAGATGTAGGCTCTAGAAGGAAGTGGTCGGTCTCTACAGGGCTCTCTTTGTGCCTCTGCAGCTTATTAAATGACATCACAAGGAAGGCATGGCAAGTAGGATGAGGGAGTCAGGCCAGCGAGAACAGACAGAAGCTTGCGGGCATGGACACAAGTAAGATGGAAATAGGGAATGTAATAGCTGGAGGTGCAACCTGGGCCAAGAGCCCTGGAAGAACTAATAACCCCAGCTGGCATTCCAAAACGTTTTCACGAGCATGGTCTCCCATTATCCCTAGCCACCCTGAGTGGGAAGACATAATGGTACCCATTTTATAGATAAGTATGTTAAGGCCCAGCAAGGTCATGGGGTTATTTGCAACCAACCCACGTGTCTTAAACTAGTGGTCTTCCTGCTACAGCCCACAGTGGGTGAATAGTTGATATTTGTTGAATAAAAGCTGAAAGTGTGGGGTAACAGCAGTGGCTGTTACCAGCAGTGGCATGGTGGTTAAGGTGCTGGACTACTACATGGCTGACCATAGTTTGAGTCCTGCACCTGGCAGCTTGAAAATCACACCAAGTGCATGTGCATGAGTGTCCAAAATCCTGAAAGGAGAATGGAAGAGACGAGATTGTGGTGTGACCATACCCCTGAAGGGTGATTTCTCACTCGCTCTCTCTCTGTCTCTGTTTCTCTGGCAAGTGCCCTGTAGCAAACACCTAAAAAAAAAAGGCAGAGGGTGTATATTATTTTTAAAATTAGTTATTTCTTCCGTGAGCAAAAGAGACAGAGAAAGAGAGAGAGAGAACACCAGGATCTTGATGCCTTGATCTACTCCCAGTTCTAGCTAGCCCCAGATCATAGGTATGCTTGTGCTCTGAGTACTCAAGTAGATTTCTTGATGCAAACCCTGAACCTTCCCATGTGGGTCAGCCTTGCAAAATGTCCAGATTACCATGGCACCACCATCTCGTCCCAGAAGGTGTGCAATTTAATACCTATTTATTTATTTATTTATTTGGAGAGGTTTTTGCTATAGGGTGTGTGCACTCACCAGAAAGAGACAGAGAGACAGAATGTGAGAAATCACCCCCCAGGAGGGATGGCCACTCTGCAATCCCTTCTCCTCCATTTTCCTCTTGGGATCTTGGACATACAAGCACATGTGCCTGGTGTGAGTTTAGGCCACTGGTTCCGGGACTTGAACCTCCATTGACTACATGGGAATCCAGCAACATAGCCAATATGCTATCTGCTGGTCCCACCACTTTTTTTTTTTTAAGAGAGATTTTTTGCTCTCGGATATGTGTGGTTGACAAAGAGACAGAAAGAGACAGAGAGACAGAAAGTGAGAAACCACCCCCCAGGGGGATGGCTATGTCATAATCCCTTCTCCTCCATTCTCCTCTCAGGATTTTGGGCATGCATGCACATGTGCCTGGCATGAGTTTTAAGCCACTGGGGCTGGGACTCAAACCATGGTCAACTACATGGGAGTCCAGAGATGTAACCACAATGCCACTTGCTGGTTCCTTAATACCACTTTTTAAAAAGAACTGTAAATGGGGCCAACAGGTAGACCGGAAGTAAAAGTGGCTAGATCCCACATGGCCAGCTACAAAGTTCGAGTCCAGGACCTGGCAGCTTGAAAATCACAGTGAGCGTGTGCGTGCATGCCAAACATCCTGAGAGGAAAACAGAGGAGAATGGGTTGCGGCATGGCCACCCCTCCTAGGGGATAATTTCTCATTCCCTCCTCCACTGCCCATGTCAGTCTCTCTTGGGTGAGTGCATGTGCCCTATGGCAAAACCTAAAACAAAACAAAACAAAAAATTGAGGTCAACCGGTGGCATGGTGGTTAAGGCATTGGACGCCTACATGGCTGACCACAATTTGAGTCCCAGACCTGGAAGCTTGAACCTCACACCGAGT